TATACAGAGTTGGAATAGAGTGGATATTATACCATACCTTTATCTGTAGTTCGTACTCTCTCTCTCTCTCAGCCAAACTGCCCCATCTTGACTAGCGCTCGGACACGCCAAACTCAACCTCCACAACTTTACAACCTCATGAAGAGACGGAATGCAAATCGGACTGGAGAAAGCGATGCATGATGGGAGGGAGGGGCGTAAACTGAAAATCAACGATAAATACAGAGCAATTTCAATTTTTACGAAAGCAAAAAATCGACACTATGGCGAGGGTCTACCACTGGCTGTTGGACTGGGGAACCGACGTCGCTCTGGATGTTGCAGCTCTGTCGAATGTCCTCGACGGTGGTGCGTATCTGGCCGGTTTTAGAGATATTAGCGTCGCTAACGATATACGCGGCGTCCACGAGCGAGACGATGGCGTTCAGCGCACTAATGAGGTCCCAGTCGGCGCTGAACCACGTAACAACTCCATTACTGTCGAACTCGAAGCGGTACTGGACTGGTACCACCAACATAGCGCCAATGACCTTCTGTAACAGCGCCATGTTATGACGCAGCGCCGGATAGAGAGTGAGCACGCCATCTTTCCGGCAGCTAATATGGAAGTGAGTGTCCATGACGACAACTGTAGAGTCCGCCAAGGTGGACACATTCATGGAGAGGGGCTCGTACCGGCTGTAGACGAAGAAGTCATTGAAGCGCTTCCAGAGCATAATGACGGTTTCGACGCCGGCGTAGTCCGGGCCCACGGTCTGTGCGGTCATAATGGAGCGTAGGAATTGTTCCTGTTGTGGCAAATTGTACGGCGAGATGCCGTACTCAAAGAGGCGGAAGTATTCCATAGTAAGGCGAGCGGGCACCCCCGCGTCGGTGCCTCTGGAACTGAAACAGTTGCGTTCCACGAGCAATTTCTGTCGCTTGTGGTTGAGCTGCTCGATCTCAGCCAAAAGATGCTGCACGTCGTGAGTGAGCACGACCAATTTCTCCTTTTGTTTGGCTCTGTGGCGACGCTGGTGGAACTTGTACTGTTGCCGTCGACGCAGCACTTTTTCGTCCACTTGGTCGTCACTAGGGCGTTTGGGGCGAGTCGGCGGTTTGCCATGGGCGGATGGGACGGCGACGATACCGGCGACTGCTGCCATTGCTTTTGGTGATTGTTGAATGGTAGTCAGACGATGTTCCTGGAAGACGGTGAGAAGCAAAATGATCGTGTTTAGAGTCGACGCGAATGGCAAGCGTGTTGTGCTTGCTCTGTTGTCGGTTGTCGAATGCGGTCAACTGTGCGGGAGCTTGTTTGAGTCCAATTTGGAGGATGGATAGCCGCACGCTATTGACGATGGGACAGGGGTTTTGGTATGACATACTGAAATCAAGATAACATGCGAGTCGAATTCGTAAAGGATCGAAAAAGCTGTGATCAGCACCGTTACTGTTGGACTACAAAACGTACAGAGCGCCTCGAATGTAGTTACACTCGCAATTTGTAAGTGATTTTACCTCGATAATCCAACACTTTTTACGAATTCGGTTGGTACAGCATACAAATTTATAGTAAGTTAATTCGACATTGACAAAACACATAATATTTGCTTGTGTAAAATCTGCCGAAATATGTCGATATTCTTTCTGATTTTTTTTAGTTACCCTTTTCGGGCGTTGGTCATGCCCATGTTCATTCTGTTGATAGCAATCGAGAATGAATTCTACTTCATTTTGGCTTAGCTGGAAGCTTGGAGTAATTTGAGGCAAGGATAACGCTATACAACTGCCTTCTGGACACCCTCACATGGGGACAGGATTACGAGCGGCGTCGCAACCAGCCGCAAACCGTCGCCTCTCGAAGAATATGTTCGCAACCAGCAGGAAATGAGTGTGTCAACGATAGTTCATGCTGCAGCCAGTTGCGACTACGAAGCTACAGCTTTCGGAATGAGTCAACGGCTCCAATGAGTCAAGCCAATGCGTTTCCGAACAGGCGTGGGATGCCAGAGCAGAATTTCATTGATGCATATTGTGCAAAGCCTCACATTCAAATTGGTTGCAAATTTTGAGTATGCAGCAAATTTTGCACTCTGCTCGATTTCACGCTGCGCAGTGTTTTGCTTGTGAGGCTCCACGGTGTGGACGTCATCGCGGCTACAAAGACCATACACCACTCACTGATTTCTACCATCCGCTCGGAATTGATTTCGCGGCACGATCTGGTCGATGCGTGGAGGGCTCGGCGAAGTCGGCGAAGTTCCTTCCGCAAGTAAGCGTAGCCCATTAGTAGCAGCAGCAGAAGCTGTAGTAGCCCTGCGTGATAGGGCATTGCACACACACACACACTTGTTTTGCAGTTCTGCGTTGGAGAAGGTTGGGCGCAATCGATCGCGAGATTGCGAGACGAAAGCACTTTGAAGTTGGACGGACGAACTCGCTCCACTGTACGGCGGACGCTTTCGGTGCGCAAAGCGAGGTCACCGCACCGAAAAGGAGGCAGTCCGTGCCCGGTCTTCGTACGTTCGTCATTAGGCTGCGGCCCTTTTATCAAGGGGAGACCATGCTTGCACGAAGTCCACAAGGTTAGGAAAACGTACAGCCCGGCAAAGCCGCTGCCAAATTTTAGGCGTCGTCGGAGTGTTTTTAGCATTCTGGTCTTCTAGGAGAAAGCAGGTCAAGTGGTGTTGCCAGCGATTAACCTCTGGGTTCACTCGTAGCTTGCGGAGCAGCATTGAGTCAGACTTTAGTTGACTCAAAGTGGCCGAATTATGTGGAGTGTTTGATACACTGTATCGGCCACTGACTCATCGCGGGTGCAATTGGGACAAGCTCGCCAACATTTTTCAAGCGAGTCAAAGCTCCACATGGAAGACTCACACGGCGTATCCCGGCGGATGTGCTCTTGACTCACATAATGCTGGCTTCCGTTGGTGCTGGCTCGCTTGCTTGGCACGTTCTGGTCCGTTTGTAACACTTCGGTCAACTTCGGTTTGGTGTGCGCTTCCACGCTGACTCCCATCGTCGATGAGTCAGTCCGCCTCATAAGCACATGATAGTGTACCGGCCTATGGAGCTTCACAGTGGAGTGTGCAGTGCTCGCAACTTCGCGAGGCAAAAGAGCCGTTGTTGTCCGCGGTGAGCTTCTTGATGTGCATCGAATTTTTGGTGGGGACCGACTTCCTCACGGACACATCCGTTGCCATCCTTTGCTGTTTGTTTACGAGCAGATCGGGTTTCCCCACCGAGATTGCGTGTAAACTGCTGCTTCATGTTTCCTGTTTGGACGTTTGCGAGCAGATGCCAAGCTGTCGCAGTGCTATTGGTATCGTTGCCGGCCCGTGCAATGCAGATGTCAGCTTTTGGTTGCTGGTCGAGTCGCGAGTTCACACGCGTGAATGTCCTGCTGGCAATCACGCAGAGAGCAGTCCACGACGACACGACTTCAACGACATGGAGCACCGAGGAGGTCAGGCGGTCAAGCAACCACGACGGCCGGCCGCGACCGCCTCGACTTCGCAACTGATGTGAGCAATGCAGACGCCGACCAACTTAATGGTGAAGGTCACCGTGTTGCTCATGCTATTTCGCTGCAAGACCGACCTGAACAACTCAACCAAAAACGACGACGGCGTTCTCCTGCTCCTGACTCACGGTATGTCGCTGAGTCAGTAGAGCCCATCCACCAAAAATCCACGTGGCCAGCCAAAACGTCCACCTCTGTCAACATTTGCACGCGTGTTGCTGCTGGGCGCCATCAGCTCTATGCAAACCATTTGCGATCGCGAAGCCAGCCAGCCAGGCCTCACGCACTCCCTCCACTCGCAGTCCACAACTCCTTGGTCTCTGCACGCCGCCTGTATTGTCCTACACTATCGAGCAAGCCAGCCGGGCGGACGGACCAGCCTCCCCGAAATCTCCACATCTCGTTCGCGCTCCTAAGTCTTGAAGAGAAACACCCCAAAAGAACGCCACGCCCGACTTGGCGGACACTTCTCAACTTCCCGTATGAGTCAGAACGCCGCGTCGTCCGCCAGTACTTCAGGCAACGGTAAGGGCAAGGCCCGTGCCGGCGCCGCCCTGGACGAGGAAGTAGACGAAAAAGTGCTACGGCGCCGGCTTCAATACAAACTCCACCAACGCCGCCACCGCGCCAAGCAGAAGCAGAAGATAACCACGCTCGAGCTTGAGGTGCAGAACCTGGCGGCAGAGGTTGATACACTCAACCGTCAGCGTCACAAACTTCTAATAGATAACAATTTTTTCGCGTCGCGCGGCACGACGGGCGGTGTGCCGGCTCGCGTGGCCATGGAATATTTCCGGCTGTTCCAGTACAGCGTATCTCCGATGCATATCGACCAACAGGAGCAATACCTGCGGGCCGTCATGACATCGGAGACCACCGGTCCGGACTACGTGGGCGTAGACACCGTGGTCACACAGTGGCGGCGATTCTGCCAATTCTTCGCGTACACGAGGTACGACCCGCTGTCCATTAACGTCACAACTGTCGGCGACCTCACGGTCGTCGTGGTCGACTCCATCTTCAGCATCCGCGCACGGCGAGACGGCGTCGTCACGCTCTATCCGTCGCTAAACGGCGACCTGGAGCTCACGCAGAAGCTGTCGGGCAGCATCATCAATATCCAGGGCAAGTACCGTTTCACGTTCGATTCGAACGGGATCGTCACGTGGTTCAGCGCGGAATGGGACCTCGTCAACGCGCTACAACAAGCGCTGGGCGACCTGGCCGACGTCTCCGCAGTGCTTTCGGGTGCCAACATTTCGTCGTCCACGGGTCAGATCCAGGTCGACGATGCACACGTACAGGAAACCAAGCCCCGAGTCGACCCTCGGCACAACGTAGAGTTCCTACTCTCATAGAGCAGCACGTGTATTTATGCCGTCTTCGGTGACGCGACGTAATGGTTCTCTAATAACAACGTGAGTACATGTATCGCTCCTTCTCGTTCCTTCACGGATGACTAACGTCTCGGTAGGCTGCCGGTGGTCCTTTCGAGTCGTGAGAGTTCCATCCGCTGCGCGGGCCCGATAGAATTCGCTGGACATCCTCCATTACGTATTCTTGATCTTGTGTAAGCAGTCCAATTTTCAATGTAGTTCACCGAAGCAGACGAAGCGAGACCCGACCAGCTTGAATTTGCGTGCGTGCCAGCGTAGCAACTCGACGTACGCGTTGGGTGCTCTCGAGGCCGCACTTTCGCTCTGGACGCATCGACACAATTTTTTCCCGAAGTGGAACCAAGACGTTCATTATTACAAGATCACTAAAACGATCTTTGTCAAGATACGGTGACCTCATGCGACCTGCTACGAAAACTGATACGACCTACAGGCTTCGCTGCTACTATGAGGAGGTTTCAGTGTAGCGCTACATGTACCAACGCGGCCTATCCGTGCAATGACAAGTGTCCTCAACCGACAACTCATGCAAATTAACGACAATTTCAACGTGTTGATTCGAGTGTGTGACTCTACTACATATACTCCGAGCTGTATCCAGCATCTGTGCTCTACGCGATCGTGATGGTGCCGCTGTCGAGTGCAATGCGGCCGCCGTCTGTGAGCTGTACCACGTTCTGCAGCGAACCGAGCACCCTTCGGAGCGTCTCCAGCAACTGTAGGTTCACCAATAGATTGCTCACGTGGCCCGTGCGATCCACCACAAACGTGTACGTGCCCGCGACAGCGGTGGTGCCGGTCACAAGTGGCAGCACGAGCTCCGGATCCACTTGACCCGTCTTGAGTCTCGGGAACAACGTCCCGATGGTCTGGCGATGGCAGCGTAGATAGAGCATGACTTCGACCTCCACCATGACGCACTGGTCGCCGACGTCCTGCGTCTTCCAGATCTGCGGTTCCAGCACGTACTGAGCGAAGTGCTGGTCGTACAGGCGCCACTGCTGTACGAAGGCGTCGGCTCCGCGGAGGTCGACGCCCTCAACGTCCGTAGTTAGAATAGAGCGTAGAAAGCGCTCCTGCAGTCCTGAGAACGGCAACGAGTAGCCGTTCTGGTACACGCGGAAGAACTGCATGACGAGCGACCGGGCGTGGTCCTGCAGCGACCCGTTCGGACGTTGCAGCTGTTGCTGCCGTTGCGTCTCGGCGTTTGCCACCGCAGCTTTGCGACGATTCAGATCCAAGTACAGACGCGCGATCTTGGTCTCCAGTGTCTGTACATCATGCTCGAGCGAACGGATCTTGTATTCGCGCTTAGCGCGGTGTTTGCGCTGGTACAGGCGATCCTGTAGCCGCTTCTTCATGGCGCGCACAGCCCGCTTCTCGACCACGTTGGTGGTGGCTACGACCTGCGCTTTGGCCTGGGCGAGAGCAGATTGCAGCTCCTGGAAGCAGCAGTCGGGTGTGGCTACGACGGCCATTTTGCGTGTTTGAAGATGACGAAAGTGCGTTATGTGCGAAGCGAATTTTCGGGAATGACGACTAGTGCGCGTGGCCAACGAACGACCAGTGGATGGAAGGAAGGATGTTAAACGCACAGTGCAAGCGCTTCGCTGGCCCTTCGGCGTGGATACCGTACGAGTAAAACTGGCGGAAAGGGTGCGTTCGTCTTGGCGACAAAGCGACTGGAACGCAGTCTCATATACGAGTGCGTTGGAGCGCGTCGATAGTCCAGCGTCACGTGTTTCTGCTGCAGCGTTGCGTTTTAGTCCAACGGCAAAGGCTCTAACGAGGCCGCTTTTGACCTCGACGCCGCGCAATCTGAACTCTGTTAAGCTCGACTCGAGGCTGCAAGTAATGACCGTCGATGTGTGACTCGTTCGAGAGAGTGGTGTGTGACTCGTTCGAGGGAGTGAGACGGTGTAAAACATTCGAGAGGCCGAACTCTCTGACCACAAGGCGTTGCAGTGCTGTTCGCTAACGCTTATTCGTAACCGTGCAACGGTACCTATTTTTTATGACGACCGGGACGAACGGCTTGGTTTGGCACGAATAACGTGCAATGTGGACCAGTATGGCATTGAATAACGAATGTCACAGCCAGTATTCGAGACTGGGCGTTAGGGAGGCAGGACACGTCCCAAGCGATGAGTGGTGCTGATTTTTTTTTTTTTCTTTGGGGGATTTATAGATTTATAGCTGGTCGTTGTGGGCCAATATGTATTTTGCGTACAGAGGAGAAACCGTCACTTCCCGATCCTTCTGGCGAGTCGAGCAGTGTCTTCTCTAATTGCTATGATTGCAGATATGGTCTGCATGAGTTGGGTGTTGACTGACTGCCTTTGGCAAGTGCTGAGTCGTAAGAAGTGGCGGCGGTTGGTTGCTACGGCAGTGGGTCCCAGATGAATAATATCATCACTTCAACTTAAGCAGCCAATGAAAGCACGGTTGAAGTTGAAATCAAATGGCGCGTTTTCTATTGCAAAAAAAAAAAAGTCCCAGGTCTAACGATCGACAACTATAACAGGAGACGGCCAGGAGGTTACTCGATGTTGCCACATCAGAATATTACCCATGTGCTCCTGTAGATTGATCTTTGTTCTGTAGAGAGCGGGCTTGACTGCCACTCTTTCTGTTTCGACAAAATGACTACACGTGATTGTTCATTGAGTGCTTAACGGCATCACTCGTACGCTCCTGGTGGATTTTCGACTCGTAGTTTCAGAACTACGACCAAATGATAGTCGTAAAGGCAATATATCAATTATAATATGTGTTCTTAAACAAGAATGTCCGTATTTTTACTATAAATTATCGATAATCTTCGACTCTGCTCGGATTGGTTGATCAAGTTGAAGTTGTCCGTTACAGCGAACAGCTATGTATATCTTTTGCACAAGACACTTGAAAAGCTCTGCATTCCTCACCAACAGCGCCACTCAGGCTTCATCTGCTATGCCTCGTAGAAAAAGCCTTCGTAACAATCCCCGTCGAGAGCACGAGCTCCCCGCGCTCTTCCATTTGAGTCGAAAGCTTCGTGGCGGTGCACAGCTCGGTAAAGCTGTCAAGGGACGAAGCAAAGATGGTAAAGGCAAGAAGGACGGCGGTCGTGAGACTACAGAGGAAGAACGGAGACTGCAGGAGTCAATTCGACGGATGGAGATGAACGACTACTTGAAGCGTCTTACAGTCTCCAAGAAGGCTTTGTTACAAGAGTTCATGGCTAAAGAGGAGAAGATTTCGCGCATGAACAAGCTCAAAATCCAGAACCATTGGCGCAAGATCATGCGGCTTGTTAAGGTCGAAGCTTTGCGTAAAGAGGTGGAGGTGCGGTCTCAGAACCACGAGCGTGACGTGGATCGCAAAGACGCGCTTATCCAGATGCTCGACCGCGACTTGGAGGAGGCTGAGGAGCAGTTCCAAATGGCGCTGCGTGCTCACCTCCTCAACGTGGACGAGCTCATTGATCTGCAAGACGAGCGGCTCTTAGGTTTAGAAAAAGAATTTGAAACAGATCTAAAAGAGCTCGAACAAGAGTTCCAGACGGAGAAGAACAAGCTCATCGCACAGCACACGATGGAGCGCAACGAACTGCAGCGCATCATGCAGGCAGTTGATCAACAGGAGAAGGAGCGCGAAGCCGACGCCAAACAGGAACATGAACAGCTTCGAGAGGAGATCCGGAACAAGAATCTAGAAGACATTAACGTGCTCAGAATCACCTTGGACAGCAGCATTGAGGAACTGGAACAGCACTTCGAGACTGCGCATCTGAACTACCTCCAGAACACGGATCAGCGCACCCAAGACTTCAAGTACTTGACTGCCAAGGACCAGGATCTCTCCCGTGATATCGAGCTCAAGATCCGCAAGATCGAGCGTCTGCAGCAGAGTCTGGCGCTCTGGAGGACCAAGATCGCACAAAATGTACGCGAGTGTTCGGAGCGTAACAAGGCGCTCGAAGAGGAGAAAGCTGCCATCTCGCATCACTTCCAGACGCTCAAAGCTAAGATGAACCGTATGCGAGAAGACCAGCGACGTCGACTTGCAGACTTATCGCAAGGAGCTCGTGAAGCCACCAAGAAGCTGGGCACTCATTTACAACTAAGCGAGAGGATCTTGCAGCTTGGAGAACTTGTACGCAAGCTTGAGACGGAAAGAGAGCGCGTCCTACCGTTTTACAAGTCGACATTAGCTGATGAACAAGAAGCGAATGAACTCACAGAAACTGTACGACAAGCTATGCGTACAGAAACTGGTCGTGAAGAGGAGGAAGCGATGCAAATGCTCGACTTCCAGCCGCAAGGACTGCAGAATGGCGTCCCTGTTAGCGAGTGGGAATACCTCGATCTCTTCTGGAAGAGGCACAACAAGGTGCTGCTTGATGAATTGGCCTTACGTCGTGAAAAAGAGCGCGTGGCCAACGAGAACCGTGAGCTTCAGACCATTTTACAGCAGTATCTCGCCGGGATCTCCGTGAGTCCGACCGTACTGGACGGAGCTAACCCGTTGCTGGTGGTTAACGGGCGTCTACGACTGCATCAACCTGCGCTGGGTGAAGACGGTAAGCCGCGTGCCAAACCTGTCATCGACGCGAACCACATGGTTGACACGAACCGAGTTACGCGGTATAAAGCAGGTTAGTAAAAATTATCATATCCAGGATAAGACAGCATAAAAAACAGGATTAGTTCTCTTAAGTCTCCCTCTTATCCTGACATTGTTCGAGTAATTCATGCGCCTCCTGTAGGAGCTTCTTAGCGTGTGGCACACGCTTACGGATAATACCGTGGCCGTCCACAAACGTGGCACCATTAGCTGTACGTGACGAAACCTCGGAGACTAGAGCACTCAGGCCAAAGTAGAGCACCTCCATCTCTCCAGGTGCCTCACAAATTAGCATCAACTCACGTATACCGCCGCCTTCTCGATACGTCGCAACTACAGCATAAGCCGCATCCCCCACTACATCTTCGGTTCCCATAGATAAGCTCATACGACGAGCCAAACTCGGTCCTTTTAGTGCCAAAGGCGACTCCATTGTCAGCTTTTCAACGTCTGTAAAGGCCATCGCGTTGGTTTTCGTGGACGTAGACGAGCTCCAACGCAGCTCGGAAGCGATCGAATCCAGTCGAAAGAGTCTCCAGGCTGGAGTTTTATTCCTCGAACGGAGTTTGCGTAGCGGTACACCAGCCAACATTGTCGCCAGGAAATGGGCCAGACGTAGTGCAGGGTCCTCCACTAATGCTAGTTCCTCAAGTGCCAGTCGGTCATCGTAGAGCTGAAGTGCTTGAGTTGTGGCGCTATCGGGTACTGCAGACTCTGCCAGTAGCAACGCATGTTCAGCACGTAGCAGATACACTCGAAAGGCTCGTTGTATCTTCATAGCAGCCACGTGACGCGTCTGGAACTCGCGTACTTCCACGTACTGACGCACGATGTTAAGGCGAGCTTCTAATGCGCGATAACGTGTTTTAAACGCTACGGTTTGACACGTTGTCGGGTCTTCCAGCTGTTGTTGTGTCTTCATTCGTTGCATGGCTCTCCTGGCTAGAAAGCCACGTACAAGACGCTGAACTAGAGTGGCTAACGTGGTCAGATCACACGCTGGTGGACCGTAAATGGACGGAGTTTGTCGACGAATAGCAGGCCCGCCACTGTAGATAAGATGCCAATACCTCCACGTGCTACCGTTCACACATCTGTAGTGCTTAGCCGCAATGAGATTTTCTTTCGGACGACGATTTTCCAGTAGATTCTGGTTGGTGATGACTCCAGGAGGGAGTTTGTGCGTCACAACGAACCGCTTCCACGACGATATCCAGCTACTCTGTACAATATAATAGATATTCTCGCTTCTACTTGCTCGAGAGAGTATATCGACAGCTAAAGCTTCTTCTTCAGCACGAACTCGAGTCACGTCGATCTCGAGAAATGCCATCACTTCGAGTGAGAAAACCCCACGAGCAGATAACAGCGTTATAATTCTTTGCAAGTAGCTGGTTAGTCTACGAGCGCGTTCAGCTGGGGGCGTTCGTAGCGCGTAGACCCAGTTACGTTCCGGTAATTGAGGGATCACCGGTAGTTTGGTTTCCAGTAAGGAATGCAGTGTTAGGAACTCACTGTATCTACGACGTACTACATGTCGACGAAGACAGTAGTGTACTCGTAGTACGAAGTTTGTATAGGGAAGTCGCCCTGCTTGTTGAGCTCGCTCCATTGATGCGATACTGACGTCCAACATGGCACTTGCACGTAACTTGGTCTCGTTATCGTTAACTTCGGGATCGAGTGGCCGTAACGTCGGGAGCAGATCTTCAGCTCGATACTCGACGCCAGCAAGCAGCGGTAATGAACTCAAGAAGCGAAACGCCACTGCTTGACGCTGGAAACCCTCGTCTGTGTTGTCAATAGTATGGATCTTGGTAGCGGAGTCATTGGGGACTACAGAATCGCTGGGCTCCGTTGACACAGGATTTAAAACCCGATTTAAACACACTGTACGAAACCGCGAGACAACCTGCTCCTCTGACGCTCCCACTGGAAGCTGCAGCTCCTCGAACGCACGCGCCGTCACCTCCTTCACCTTCGTAATGGACAAGACAACCATGGATACTCAAACTGCACGACGATTCAACAAGATACGCTTCAACATGCTGAATTTATCAGATTTAGAAGCTTCACTTTTCTAAATCTGAATGCTAGATTTCCAGTTTTCTTACTTGGTGTCTAGTTCGAGCACGGTACGGATCTCTTCAGGTGAGTGTTGCAATGCAACACGTCGGCTACGCTCCACCGAAGACCAGGACGATGACATTGGCTCATTGCTAGGAATGTAGTCATATCTCGCGTCGAATACGAACTCATAGATGAACGCGTACGTGCCCGCAAGTGTTGCCGACGTGAGTGTACGGGCCTTGTCTGCAAGTGCCGGCTGTGCCAGACTTTCGAGCTGTGGGAACATCAGCGTCATAAGCGCCGCACAGAAGTCGCCCATGACTTGCGTGACCGTCTCGCCGTCCAGACCGGGCGTGTCTGCAGGCGAAAGACCGGGATTCATTGCGTGGCTCTGCTGGAAGTCCTGAATGTGTTGCAGCAACGTTGACACTCGGCAGCGATCCAACACGCGCGTGGCTTGCAACTCGCTCAGATCTCGCAGCCAGCGTTCTAAATCTAGACCCATTTCTAAATACCATCTGTTCACTTCTGGGAACCTGGCAAGAGGAGCTTGTAAACAACTGAAGTTGTTGATCCGGAACACCAGCGCGTCCACTGGATCAAGACTTGTGACGCTGCGTTGACACATGAGTTCCAGTGCCGGTAGAATCCCGTCGAATAGAGGCGCTAGATCTGCTTCTTTCTCTTGTTCTGGCAACAAAGAAGTTTGAAACACTTCCAGAAGTGCTACTAAGCGGTGCGAAACATCGAGCGTGGTGTGCGTAGCTGCGAGACTTGCAGCGTAGTCTTGAGCTGAGGCTGCGACAGCGTCCACGAGTTGTTGGAATTGGCGATGGAACGCTTCGTTTGCAGCTCCGCGACAGTGACGCAGCGCACGCGCGACGTCACTGTGAGCGACAAGTTGGTCGAACTTGTGGTGGTAGAACGCAAGCAAGTGCACCAGCTTGTAGGCGATCACAATGCCGTGTGGAGAGCTCAACGTCTGCTCCACACGCACTTGCAGAGGTTTCGCGACACCGTCGAACGCACATCCAACCATAGACGTGCAGACATTCGCAGCCTCAGCTGGTAAAGCACTGCTACCTGCTTCGACTGAGGGCTCAGAATTCGAAGGACTAAACTCGACGTCGCCATCGAATAACACGCGGAAAAACTCGCTCTCCGTCGCAATAGCTTGATGGACCCATGCCAACATGTCACCACAGTAGCGTACAGGGTCGTGTGCGTGCATCTCAATTGGTCTCGGGATGCCATTCGGTCCACCCACAGTCAGCGCCATGATAAAGCGCCGCACAATCAGCGCCCTTCTCGATGTTGTCAAACATTCCTTGCAATAGCTACAACAATAACGTTAGTACTCATTATAGCTCTGTCATAGTTTAGATTCTACGTACTTGTAGAATTCTGAGCGGTCGCTTAAAAGTGCAATGGCTCGATGCAGTAGGTTGCTCGGCTCTCCATCCACTTCCGCGCATTTCTTCGCTGTCCATTGGTACAGTCGCTCAAAGCCGGCTTCTTGGTACTTACCCACTGTATCTAGAAGCTCCAGTGCACAGTTGACCTCACCCGAGGCTACCAGATCCTTGCAGTCTGATTTAACTTGTTGGACTCGTTCTAAAGTACTGAAGAACGTGTCCATGTCGTCATCTGCTAGTTGCTCAGCATACAGCGCACGCACTTCGTCCTCCGTTAACTGGTAGCGGTCTAGAAAAGTCTTGGTCTGCTTCCATTCCTGCTGTACGTTGTCCCTGATACATTCCAACACGTTCAACATGTTATCCAACATGGAATTTTCCAGATTCTAGATTTAGAACTGGGAAGTCAAACCTCTTGGTTGCTAATGCCGCCGCCTCAGTCTGCACCTGTTGCGTCTCCCTTTTAGTTGTCTCTAGAAATTTATGCACTTGGTCGCATTTGACGTCCAGCGCGTCCACCTGATTCGCCAGATTAGAAACTTGTTCTAAAGTACGTTCTAAACCGTCCAGAGCCTTCTGAGCTAGAGCCAACTGCTGATGTTCCAGACTTGATCGTAAATTACGACGCAGCGTAGCAAGCGTGGGCGTCTCCGATGCGTCCAGCTGCACAAGTGACGCGCCAGACGAGGCTTTGTCCGTCACGAGCGTCCGCAGCAGCGCCTTGGTGGCTTCGATCTCCGAGCGGGAGCCCAGAAGCTTGTGCACGCGGGCCTGCAGCGCCGCAGGGGCCGGGGCTGCCATGCTGATACTTAGTACTGTCGGGTGACGTACACACTATCTAATTATAGAGGTCTAATATTAAATTTAGCAATACTTTCACTTCAACCACATCATCCAATCGATTTTTTCACACGATCGCCCCGAATACTATGCAAGCGTAGTAAGAAACCCCTCCAGCGTAGTAAGAAAAAAAACCTGTTTCTTACTACGAGCCCTCGGCTCCGTCTTTATGTTTACTTGAGCATCCTTTTCACGACTGCGAACCTGCGAGCGTACATGTATAGGTTGTTGGAAACTCATATCCTACTACGAAGCTAGCGACAACCATTCGCCTCGAGCACGAAATTCTTTCTTTCTACGAGCGCTGAGAAACTCGGAGCAGCATCTCGCTAGAGTGCTTCTTCCCATAAGAAGAGCCTGTGAGGTTTAGCCTGTGAGATTAAAAGCGATCTTACAACGTATGGTCCCGGCCAGCGCATGGAGTTATATATCAAAGGAAAGCATTTTACGATAACTCATCCGGCCAGTGCAGAGGAAGCTGGGACTGAATGCACTACTTCCTTCTATTATAGTACTGGCCCGAACATCTTGCAATGCGCTAACGGTTTTTCCATCTTGGCTAGAACGTTGGTGCTCGTGAATAACTGCTCTTCGAAGCTATATCCCCCTTGCTAATTTGCCAATGATGGCGCTCTACAGTTAGTACGACCAAACAGCATGCGGCAAAGTCATGAGACGCTCGACAATTCCGCGCCGATGACAGCAAAAAAATTGGCAAAGGTGAGATGAGGGAAGCACAGACATTGCTATTTCGAAATGGTTGCCACCGCGGTACAACATTCCGTGGAAACTCAGGAACGTTTTCAACGCTTTAACGTTTGCGTTTGGCCCCTTCTCATCCGTCGGGTCCGTCGGTCGGTGAGGCCTCTGTCCTCATTCCTAAATAACCTCTGCACACGTAACGCTTTCGTCATCTTCAAACTTAAAATGGCCGTCGTGGCTACCCCCGATGCCTGCTTCCAGCAGCTCCAAACCGCTCTTGATCAGGTCAACGCACAAGTGCTGGCAGCCACCGATCTGACCGAGAAACGGGTCGTGCGCGCCATGAAGAAGCGGCTACAGGATCGCCTGTACCAGCGCAAGCTACGCGCTAAGCGCGAATACAAGATCCGTTCGCTCGAGCATGATGTACAGACACTGGAGACCAAGATCGCGCGTCTGTACTTGGATCTGACTCGGCGCAAAGCTGCGGTGGCCAACGCCGAGACCCAACGGCAGCAACAGCTGCAACGTCCGAACGGGTCGCTGCAGGACCACGCCCGGTCGCTCGTCATGCAGTTCTTCCGCGTGTACCAGAACGGCTACTCGTTGCCGTTCTCAGGACTGCAGGAGCGCTTTCTACGCTCTATTCTAACTACGGACGTTGAGGGCGTCGACCTCCGCGGAGCCGACGCCTTCGTACAGCAGTGGCGCCTGTACGACCAGCACTTCGCTCAGTACGTGCTGGAACCGCAGATCTGGAAGACGCAGGACGTCGGCGACCAGTGCGTCATGGTGGAGGTCGAAGTCATGCTCTATCTACGCTGCCATCGCCAGACCATCGGGACGTTGTTCCCGAGACTCAAGACGGGTCAAGTGGATCCGGAGCTCGTGCTGCCACTTGTGACCGGCACCACCGCCGTCGCGGGCACGTACACGTTTGTGGTGGATCGCACGGGCCACGTGAGCAATCTATTGGTGAACCTACAGTTGCTGGAGACGCTCCGAAGGGTGCTCGGTTCGCTGCAGAACGTGGTGCAGCTCACAGACGGCGGCCGCATCGCACTCGACAGCGGCACCATCACAGTCGCGTAGAGCACAGATGCTGGATACAGCTCGGAGTATATGTAGTAGAGTCACACACTCGAATCAACACGTTGAAATTGTCGTTAATTTGCATGAGTTGTCGGTTGAGGACACTTGTCATTGCACGGATAGGCCGCGTTGGTACATGTAGCGCTACACTGAAACCTCCTCATAGTAGCAGCGAAGCCTGTAGGTCGTATCAGTTTTCGTAGCAGGTCGCATGAGGTCACCGTATCTTGACAAAGATCGTTTTAGTGATCTTGTAATAATGAACGTCTTGGTTCCACTTCGGGAAAAAATTGTGTCGATGCGTCCAGAGCGAAAGTGCGGCCTCGAGAGCACCCAACGCGTACGTCGAGTTGCTACGCTGGCACGCACGCAAATTCAAGCTGGTCGGGTCTCGCTTCGTCTGCTTCGGTGAACTACATTGAAAACTTGCTTACACAACGAAAGCTAAACACAACAGACTAAGAACACTTGGCCGAAGATGTCCAACGAATTCTATCGCGTAGCAAATGAAGCCCTCGACTCGCACCGAGACATTAATCAGCAGTGGACTGGAGCGAAGAAGGAGCGACAACGAACGCGGCATAAACGCGATGCCTTTTGTTCGCTCACGTTGCCCTGCATGGACGATGCGTACTTACATGTACTGTAGTTGCTCACAAATCGTTACCCACCGCTCATGCTGCTTAGATACAACGGCTCGCAATGGTGGGACAACGCGTTGGTTAACTACACGGTAGAAGGTTTACTGTTGTGCATATGGATTCCCTACTCCAGGCGTTGGCCGTGGACCCAGAACGTCAGATAGAAGAGATCTTCGCCTTCATGCACTGCCGTGATCTCGTTGAGCACCGACTGGCTGCGGAACATGACGAGTCTGTCCGGCTGCGGGTCGATCTGCCGTACTGGAGCGTTCTCGGTTAGACTCGTTCGCAACTTAAGTCTCGTTCGTGAGTCAACCGCATTGAAAAAATACACACAAGTCAGTTTAAACCCATTATCCTTGTCGCCAGTGCCGCAATCCAAGCGCAAAGGCTGGTGATGTCCTGTCGGCAAGTGCTGAATGGCAGTGCAGTGCACAAACTGCGCGCAAAGTTTGGCGTTCTCCGGCCGCTTCTTGTTGATCTCGTAAGGTAGCGCATGCAGTTTCTCGATCAATTCTGCCAGCGCAGGGTATTCCGCTGAACAGTCTTGATGCTCCACAAAGCGGATTCTCGCTCCTGGCGAAGTTTCCGACTGATTTTCAGCGTGTTGCCGACTCAAAACGTGTTTGGCATCGATGTTTGGCACTGCAGACATTAATAACCCGCTTTTGGCCATCCTGAACACGTCGTTAAGCAGCAGTTGCGTCCACTCCTCGCCCATAAACTCGTCCATGACTGCCACGCCACGTACATCGCTTTTTTCAATGAATAATTCGTCAAGAAATTCATCGTCCAATTGGTCCCAAGTGGCAAAGTCGGAGTTCGGATCGGCAACTAATCTGGCGTCATTTGCCAGTTTCACGTGTTTCTGGTAGTTTACGCGACGTACCATTGCCAGCACCTCTCTGCCAAACGCTTCTTGCAGCACTTGAGGCAAAAGCATGCGTTCAGTTGCCGGATCCATGACATCTCCCTGCTCTGCGCCTCTTTTCTTCACATTGGCCAACACACTTGCCGCTTTCGCTTCAACTTTTGGCATCAACGCCAACAGCTCCTGTTCGTACCACGGGTCTTCCAGCAACGTTTGCAAGTTTTTCGGCGCGTGGACGAGTTGCTCCTTTGGGATTCCGGGGTAAATGAGCTGCTGGAACTTATTCTCTTGCAACAATTTCGCAAACACTCCGTCGTCAAGCACAACACTCTCGCCGCGACTGTTGATTCCGCGCTTGTTGCATCCGTCCAGCAACTTTTTCAACATCAATTTCCAAGATCGTTGCGTCGTGTCTTGCTCCACCCCCTCTTTTTCCGAATAAATGGCGGATTTCGCTTTGCCAGAGAGGAAACCTTTCTTCACCGCCTTGTTTTCCTTGGCGTTTCGCTTGAGGACCTTCACTCTGTCTGCCGCTTTTTCCGCTCCAGTCGACGATTTATCACTTTCCACACGCAAAAGTTGCTCGTACGCGGCAATTGCCTCGTTCCAGTCTTGCAGCGACTCGCATGCAGCCGCTTTTCTCAGATACCCTTTTGCCCACTTTGGCGATAACTCGATCGCTTTTTCCGCATCTTCCAGAGCTTCTTCGTACTCTTTCAGGTGGTGGCACGCTGCCGAGCGGTTGCCAAACAGCAAATGATTGCCATTTTGCAGCTCAATGGCTTGCGTGTAAAGATCCTTGGCTTCCTGGAATTTCCGCTGCTGGAACGCCTCGTTGCCCTGTTGACGTAAAGCTTCGGCTTGGTCCGCAGCACTGGCATCAAAGGAGCCGTCGGCGCCGGCCTCAACGATAAGATCCGCCATGTTCTGGACAAGTATGGAAAATGTGTTGCAAAAAATTATTGAATGAAAATGAATTTTAACCAATCATAAATTGGATACTTCTTTTGTTGAAGCAAAGTTGCCTTTTCTGCATTGCCACTTTATCTTCGTCGATCTAGTGTGGTTGATAGTAGCAATTCGGCATCGATCGATACAGGAGCAAGATGGAGTTTTGATCTCGATGGTGTGTGATGTTTCTGCAGACCCGTCGACCTGTGTGACCCGGTGGATTGATTGCCAAGCGTCGAATAAGCGGTTGAATCTGTTGCACGAGTGGGTATGTTTTCCACTTGAGGGCGATGATAATGGCGCGGTATTGTGCCAGTTGACCGACTCTTGTGAAGAGACGGCAAAATGGCGTTGGCTGTAACCGCGGGGACCTCGTCTTTGAGTGCATTTACTTGATTGGAGGTGTTTCGGATGTGTCGAACTCCTTTTACCAATGTCCCGGATACCATCGCTTTCGTTGGTAAATATACCATGGAAACTGGAGGTCTCAACGTGGCACTTCCGCTGAGTTTCTTCATACCAAGAGCGGTAGGTCCCAAGAGCGCTTTTCTCGCTGAAGATCCTGAAGACACGACTGACATGTCAACGGTGCAAAAGTGAACGTCTTGCCAGCACTTCTGACAGTTTACTGTGAAACATGATGCACACCACAACTCTGCAGCCCGAACGGAGCAGGAACAACACACGATAACCTCTTCATTATCAGCCTCAATCTCCTTTTCCGGGTCGTTCGTTTGAGTTGGATGTTCTGGTTGATCTTCATCTTGAGGAAAAA